GCCTTCACTTCTTAAATGGAGCTTTAAAATTCTCCATTCCCTTGTTATATTCTGTACACAAAAGAAGATTGGTAATGCTTCCAATGCCTTTAGAAAAGAATGGAAATACATTGCTAGAGAAGTAATTCAGCTTTTTGTCCTAAACAGGGGTGAAGCAGGATCTGATTTCTTTCAGGACAAAGTCCATAATATCAGGTTGAAAATAATTCTGTTAACTTTAGATGCTTTTATTAATAGGAGAATTAATAGGAGATTAATAGCCCCCGTAATTTTCATCTCAAAGAAATAAAAGAGAGATGTACAGTATTTTTCCTGTCTTGCTTTATGCAGGATGAACAAAATTTTTGAACCAGAAGGACACACTTAAAATTATTTTTATTTTCAGCTTCCAAAGGCAAAGTTGGCCAACAAGATGGCAGCTGTGACTGCATGATTGAAGCCTGGCCCTTTTTTAAATTTAGGTTATAAATACAACATCCAGAACCTAAAATCAAAGTAGGGTTTTAATTGCACAATCACAGTGCCATCATCTCTCCTTCCCCCAAAACACACATGCCCATGAAAAGATAGTATGATAGTAATGTCAGTATCCAGTTTGATCTGAAGTTTTTGGGTCGCCCCGCTTTTTTTAAAAAAAAGGGAATAGGTATGTCTCGCCTTTGGATAGACAATACACTATTTCCTGTGCTTCAAGTTTAAACAATTATGGTGATTTTGGTATTTAGCAGGGCCACTGCTAAGCTGCAGAAGTTAGACCTTGAGACACAAGGACACAAGTTCTCATTTTAATTCCATCTCTATACTGCACTAATGAAATCTATTAAAGGAGACAAGACTATATCTGTTGGCCTAAGACTTCACTGTCCATTGGTTCTCTCTGTAATCTCCATGAGAACAGATGAGAATTAGTGATACATATCTGTATTTGCCTAATATGCAAACTAGCAAACCATCTCTTAATTGAATATATGTTCCCAGCCTGTGCTTATGACAGATTGTATCATGTTGAAAAATTTGGGAATCACTGAATAGACATGTCAACTGCAGGGAACTTCTAGGCATATTGAAAGCTATGCATGATCAGACACAGTGGTGAAACCTGAAGCTGAATGTAGGTGCACTTATTCAAGGCCACTCAATTTTTAGTATATATTTTGCTTATATTCTGTTTTTCCTGTTACATGTTTTTTCTTGTTTTTCTGCAAGAGTCTGACACACTTGTTTAAAAGCATAACATGCATTTACTTTTGATTAGCAGTTTTATACTATTTATTATTGGATTTTCTATTCATTTCATAAAGCAGCTTACAACAGTGAAGACAATGCAAAATGTAACAAAATAATATTCATACGATTAAGTACTTACAAATAGAGATGAAGTCCTCTATCCCCAGTTCTCTTGTAAATGAGGTTGTAACAAGACCAGTCCAATATGCAAGAAAAGTTTTGAAATCTTTAGTAGTTAGCAGATAGCAATAGCAATCTCAATAGCACTTGGATTTATATATTGCTTCATAGGGCTTTACAGCCCTCTCTAAGTGGTTTCCAAAGTCAGCATAGTGCCCTCAACAATCTGGGACATCATTTTACCAACCTTGGAAGGATGGAAGGCTGAGTCAACCTTGAACTGGTCATGATCGAACTCCTGGCAGTGAGCAAAGTCAGCCTGCAATACTGCATTCTAACCACTGTGCCACCATGGTTAGCAGATATATATTTCTTGATAATTCTTTCTCTTCTCTGAATGGAAAAGCAGCAATGTTGCCTGGATACACCCAACATACTTTTCATAAACAACAGGAAGAAATGTTGCTTCTGCTTTCCTTTGGAGAGAAACAGCATAGCTTAGCTGAAAACATACCAAAAGAGAGAGAAATTCCTTTATGGCTATTCCAATGTAATTATGGGGGGGAAATAATTCCTTTTGCTTTTTAAATTAATCATAGAAATCCGTAGAAAGTGTTACAAATTTATTTACATATACATGTAAGGATACATATTCAATGGTATCAAAAGCCACTGAGAGGTCAAGAAGAGCATGGATGGTTGCAGTATATCCATTTTGCTCCTGCCAGAAGTCATCTACAAGCATTATCCATGTTGTCTCAGTCTTGTAACCCAGCCTGAACCCTGACTGAAATGAGCACCAATAATCTGTTTTGTTCAGGATCCTCTGACAATTAAAGACAATGTGCAATGACTTCTTCTTTCTGATGTTCTATAAACACATCTCCTCAAAATATGACACTTTATGGAATATCCATATCTGATCATTCTAGCTCCTTGAATCTTGCTCTGTTAAGGGCTATAACCAACCAAGTTGTTAAATTTTTGGAAAAGGTGGCAAAGCTAAAAGGTTGGTTTTTGTGAGATAGGTGGTTATACAAATTTGATAAACAAACAAATAAAAATAAATAACCCAGTACCGTCCCCACATTCAACTGATCATACAACATCTAGAGATCTGTTACTGAGTGACATAAAAGTACAATCAATAAATACAGGAAAATATAATATGCAGTGGAAAACTCAATTATTTTTCCCATGGGTGAAGCTATGGAAATGTAGACGTTTCTGTTGTATCTCATCCCCTTATTTATCCTTCTCTGTTCCTCCAACTCATGTACCAAAATAAAGGGATTTATTGTCAGTGGAAAATGGGCATCAGGCGAGTCACTGAGCCAGTTCTACATTTGATACACCTGTCAGATGGTACAGATAGCAGCAGGAGGATAATACTGTATATCCATTAGGTAAATTAACTGCATTAGAATGATGTGCTCTTTCTCCCAGCACATGGATGAGAGAGGGAGACATGAATTGGCTTCCCTTCTGCATTTTCTCTGGCAAGAGCTAGGGAGAATCATATGGCTTTCTTTCCAGAAACTAACCTCCAATTCCTAAGTCCTTCTTTCCACAGGCATTTCTTTGTTTCAGTAGTGATAACTGCAAGCAATAATATACGTAAAAACAGGATGGACTCAATGCATAGACAGAGCTAGCCGATCTCCTTTTCCCCTTTCTTCTGAAATAAGATGTGGGTTTTAAAAAACTTTCTTTTTTATCTGTGTTAAGCTATTAACTCACAGGGCTGAAGACATTGGTTTTCGTAGAATTCTCTTCTCAAAATAATGGGATATTATACCAGCTGGGGCAAGGTGACAGGAGGATTGATTGGTGATCCGAAGAAGGCATACAGTTTCTGGATTAGAAGTTTTGTATCTTTGCTCTGTAAGGAGGGTTTTCTGATCCAAGTTGCAATCAAATATTATCCAGTGGGAAATGAAAGGCATTGAAATTCCAATCAATAGATAGCAGAACATGGACCAGAGAGTAGACAGTTTATCTGTTCACAAGTCTTCCATATATTGAAGAAATACATTCCTATGAAAATAATGGGCACTGTCTCTAACTTGCACTTACCTGTGTAAATCAATACGTAAAAATGCATTTTTTCCTGTTAGACATTGTAACTTAAGTGGTTAGAGGAATGTGGTAGCTGAGGAGGTTAGAACGCTGGACTGGCGATCAGCAGCCTTGCATTTGAGATCCATTGCTGTCACTGGGCAGTGTGAGCTCCTGTTACATGCTCCAGCTTCTGCCAACCCAGCAGTTCAAAAGTGGTGACTGCAAGTAGATAAATGGATAACACTTTTGTGGGTAACACAGGGATGTGAAAGGAGCCCCCAACTGGGTATCCCTGGGCAATGGTCATGTCACCAGCCCAATCCTTTCACCATGGAAGCACTTCAGTGTTTCTGACTCAGAACTATTAGTATACCTACAGTAGATGGTTGTTATAGAATCAAATGAAGGGAAGTTTTCACAGTGTGTTAAACCATGTTTTCCTAACCTTGGCTTGTTGAATAAACACAATTATCTGGCTTCACAGACTGTAAACCCGTGTTTCTCAACCTCAGTAACTTTCAGATGTGTGGACTTCAATTATCAGCGTTCTCCTGCAGGATATTGAAGTCCACACATCTTAAAGTTCCTGACATTGAGAAACACTGCTGTAAACAATAGATTGCAAGCCACAGATACAATCTATTTATGGTTTGCAATCTACAGATAGATTGCAAGCCACAGTGCAATTCACAGCACAAAAAAGGTAATCCCAGAATAATGTAGTTGTAAATTAAGATTTTTAAACAAGGACATCAGCAGGGGTAGATTAATAAGAAGATAAAGATTGTGGCCCCAACTATTTGATCAAAGTCCTGTTTCTTTTTACATGCATAACACACATAAAAAAGAAGCAGGACTTCAATTGCATGGTAGTAACAGCCATCTTTATTTTTGTGACCCACTGCCAGAGAAGCCCCAGTTTTTAGGGCTCTGCAGGAACCACCCATTCCTCCTCAATGTTAGAATTTTGCTCCGAAAACAAATTAATCATCCCAATTAATCTGAATTCTGGAATACTATACAGGAAACTCAGATTTTCACTCTTATCTAGCATGAAAAGGGCTACAGTATTAAATGCCCATAACATTTTTCTTAGACTCTAATGATATTTGCAGGAAATTAAAAACATTGTAAGTGCACCTTATGATTGCTACATCGCATAGAATTTGAGCTTTTCTTTAAAGCGACCACAACTTTTTGTTTAGAGACAGATTTAATGAAGCTATTAGGAGATAGGCTGAAAGATTGGGGGGGGGGGGGCAAAACGAATGGATCAATTATTTTCTTTGTGAATGAATTGGAATTGGAAATCGAACAACATGGTGGAAAGCAGAGATTAATTCATTCAACTTGCAAAATTAAAATCATCTATAGCAGTGTTTCCCAAACTTTTGACATATGTGTACCCCTTCTATAATTTTCGTAACGCTGAGTACCCCTCATAAAAAACATATGCTTTAATAAAAATCAAAATATATTTATTTTTTATTTTTTTTTGGTACATACACAAAATAAACAAAAGTTATATTATAAAGAACATTTATTTGATTCAATGAGAAGGATGAAATTGTTTATGTTGAGATGACAGATCATCATAATTTGGTTCCCTGGTTGTTAATTTTTAATCTGAGATGCGGTTCCACGTCCAATAGTCTGTTCCTTTTTTTCGACTTAATGTCTACAAATGCAGAAAAAGCAACTTCGCATAAATATGAAGTTGGAAAAGGCAAGATGTATTTCAGGACTTTTTCTGTTAAAACCGGATACACATGTTGCATTTGTAACCAGAATGATGTTAAAGTACACTCCTTATGTTTATTTCTCAAGAATCCGTCCGAAGCTAACTCCAACAATTGCTCTTCTTCCGCATGCGACAAACCTTCTGGCATGGATGTTGTGTTAATGTTGAACGGATATCTTATCCATTCAATATTTTTGTTTAAATCAAGGAAATAGTTTTTCAAGCCAACTTGCAAACTCTCCAAATGCTGTATTATGCATTTCAGAATATCAGCCTCAATTTTAGTAGCCGAACTTGTTATAAACTCATGAAGAGAGGGAAACGAGTCTACTTCTCCATTACCAACTCTCTTTTGCCATAAATTTAGTTTTGCGATGGTAGCGTTCACTTTATCTTGAACGTGAAACAATGAAATTTCTTTGCCTTGTAACGATAAGTTGAGGCAATTTAAAACAGAGAATATATCTGCTAAGTATGCTAGTTTACAAAGCCATTTCCAGTCATGTAAACAATTTCTCAACTCAAATCTATCATTAAGAAAGCATTGAAGTTCATGTCTAAGTTCGAACAATCGGTTTAGAATTTTTCCCCGAGATAGCCAACGAACATCGGTATGAAAAAGCAGCTGGGTATGACTACTTCCCATTTCTTCACATATTTGCGAAAAAAGTCGTGCATTCAAAGGACGGCTTTTAATGTAGTTAATGATTTTCACGCTTTCATCCAGAACTTTCTGTAGATCAGCGGGCATCTTACGTGTTGCCAAAGCCTCTCTGTGTATGCAACAATGTGTGGATATGACATTTGGAGCAACATTTTGAATTCTTGCAACGAGTCCTTTATTAATTCCGACCATACTTTTTGCTCCATCTGTGCTTATTCCAACACATCTATTCCAATCAATTTTGTTCTCTTGCATAAATGTATTCATAACATTAAATATATCTTCTCCTGTTGTGTGACCTAATAAAGGCTGGCAAAATAAAAAGTCGTCATGAATTTCTTGATTTTTTTCGTATCTAACAAATGCCATAAGATTTGCAAAATTCGCAATGTTGGTGGACTCATCAACTTGCAATGCATAATAACGACTTTGAGAAATATCAGATAATAACATCTGTTTTACATTATTAGACATATCAATGATTCGTCGATGAACTGTATTATTTGAGAGAGGAACGCAGTCAAAAGTTTGTTTCGCTCTATCTCCTATCATTACTTCTGCCATTATCTTGGCTGCAGGCTTGATTAAAATTTCGCCAATGGTTTCCGCTGCACTACATTTGGCAATTAAAAGCGACACGCGATACGAAGCTTCTAGTATTTTTTGATTGTCACCTCCCGTCAAACCCTGCATTACTTTTCGAGACTGATTTAAACCCTTAAGTTTATTTTCAAAAAAATCTATGGGTTTATCTTTGTACTGATTATGGTTTGTCTCAAAATGGCGCTTTAAGTTGGATGGTTTCATGCTTTCATTTGTTAGATTTTCAAAACAAATGACGCAAAGTGGAATAGGCTCATTTTCATCTCCAGTCCGTGAGAATCTAAATTTAAGATATTCTTTGTCGTACTTGAGAGTTTTCCTTGCTTTTTTCTTAACAGAATCCATAATCTCTGTTAGGGATAAAAAAAAAGCGATCCATAATCTCTGTTAGGGATAAAAATTGTATTTTATAAAAATAATCAAAATCAGTGGAACTTACTAAAGCACGATAACAGGCGCCCGGAACTAACTATTAAAGAAGTAAGTTGTCTCTGTAACGAAGTGCAGTATATTCATGCCGTGTCACGCCTCACAAGACTGTCTAACCATTAGATAACACTGCAATTCTCCGGCGTTTAAACAGCTCCGTGGCTCAACGTCAACTGTTAATGTTCCCGCAGTTTAAAAATGGCCGAACCCGAGCTGCGCGAAGGATGCGCAGAAGTTCCCGCCATAATGAGTTGCGATACGATGTACGATGGCCCCAGTTCCCATGTAAAAACTGCGATATGCGCCTATTTCTTTCCTTGTTCTGTGGGCGCAGCTAAGCACGGTGCAGTGGATATTCCCACGTGATCCCCCACCAAACTCTGGTGCAATGCGTACCCCCACCAAACTCTTCCCGTACCCCTGGGGGTACGCAAACCGCACTTTGGGAAACACTGATCTATAGGTAGAAAAGAATACTTTGGAAATAGGACCACAGCAGTGCATTTTAGATGCTTTAAAATTCTATACTTGAATTTTCCTTTTCATTACTGGCAACTTCCCTTCAGTCTCTTGGTTTAGCATATTAAAATGTAGGCTGATAATATATATATATATATTTTATTAGCCTATATTTTATATATTCCAAAGCCTGCTTTTTAAAATATGTGGCTTTCTAGCTGGTTCTAATATAGGTATTTACAAAGGAGCTATCTTGCCTGGCATCTGTATAATCCAATAAATCAACCAGAACTGAACAGTTGCTGCCATTTATATTTTCAAAGGGGTAACAGGCTGTGCAACCCAATGGCTCTATTTTATTACCCAGCCACATCTAATTACCTCCACTTATTTAGCAGATTATGTATAATAATAGCAATAATAACAGTCAAATTTTATTGCACTATTAGACTTTTCCTTTGTAAGTTGAAAATGGACTTATGGCAGAAGTTTTTGCAGTACTGAATGTATCTAGCAATGCCTTTCTCTGTGGCTAAAATATGTCTATTCTGCTTTCTCATAAGTACTATAAACTCATTCATTTAATGTTCTGCCCTTTCTAATGTTAATTAAAAGTTACTTGAGGACTGTTTCTGTCCAAATTATTACTTCCTGCTGACTTTGGCTAGGGAAATTCTATCTCAATGCGCCAACTGAGTTCTTAGTTCTTCAATGTCTGTTTGTGTTCAAGGAATGCATTTTATTGTTCTTTTCATTTCTAAGAGTAATAAAATATCATGGTGACATTTTTAAATGAATGAAAAAATATAGCAGATAATTAGTACATTAATAAACACCTCTCTCCTCCAGCAGAAGAAAATCTGAGACTTGATCGCTTATTCTCCCAAGCAAGAACAACAGGAAGCAATAAAAAGAATAGAATTCTGTACAAAGAAAACTTTTGGCTAGGCAGAATAAATACTAAACATGCCACAGCTACAATCATGCTTTACAGCGAATGCAAACAAATAACTGCAACAACTGAAACCTTAAAAATGCAAAATAACCTAGGAAAATCCTATTGCAATACAGGTTGTCCTCGACTTATGACCACAATTGAGCCAACATTTTCTGTTGCTAAATGAAACATTTGTTAAGTGAGTTTTGCCTCACTTTATGATTTTTCTTGCCACAGTCATTAAGTGAATCACTGCAGTAATCCAGATAATCTGGCTTCCCCATTGATTTTGCTTGTCAGAAGGCCACAAAAGATGCTGACATGATCCTAGGGCATAGCAACTGTCATAAATAAGAGTCAGTTGCCAATTGTCTGAATTTTGATCACATGACCATGGGGATGCTGCACTGGTCATAAGTGTGAAAAATGGTCATAAGTTACTTTTTTCAGTGCTGTTGTAACTTTTAACAGTCACTAAATGAACTGTTGTAAGTTGAGGACTACCTGTAATGTTACAACAGTGTCAGTGGGAAATTCTATTAACCATGGATAGAACCTGGGGGGAGAAGAGAAAATATCCAATTTTGTCTGAGAATCCAAATGTTAGTTTAATTCAAATGTGCACTGTAGATATATGTAAGCAAACTTTCTGACCAGTGGTGGGTTGTCCCCGCTTCAGACCGGTTCTATAGAACTGGTAGTAAAACTGGCGGGAGGCTCCGTTCACTGAACCATGTGCTTCTGCGCATGGGTGAGCGAAGTGGTAGTAAAGGTAAGTAGAACCCACCTCTGTTTCTGACCCAAGAGCTGCTCAGAACTTTAATTGATATGGTGGAATGTCACTAGCAGAAGTATTAATTTACAGAAAATTAAAATGATATACTTTTAATGTTATTAGTATCTTGCCAAGCCTTTAATTTATTTTTTCTTTTGGTACATTGAAAATTACAATATGGTAAAACCTTCAAAAAACTCTAAGTCTGCAGCTAAGACTTCTAGAGAGTATTTTTGTGATCCAAGGACCTTGGCCTGTACAGATTGCTGACTCATTTTTTTCTATGTCATTGGCTGGGGAATTCTGGGTTTTGAAGTCCACACTACATAAAATTGTCAAAGCTCGTGAACACTACTGAAAGGATAAGCTAGTCATAGATAGAAACTGAATGTATTTATTTACATTCTGAATTTCTGAATCCTGTCCCAGTCAAAGGACCCTGGATAGTGTATCACAAAGGAGGAGGAGGGACCTCCGGTTGATGTCATAGTGAGTTCGGACACGAGGTGCGGGTCTCCGCACTCCCGTGCCAAATCCTCCCTGTAGGGGAGGCGAAGCAAAGAGGGATGCCCTGCGTGCTTGCAGAGAGTCGCAACTCTCCTGCTTGACCTGGGGTTCTTCTTTCCCTCTCTGCCATGATGAGGAGAAGAGGCAGCCTAAACATGGCTGCTATGAAGCTGAGACAGCTGAGGAGCACCTAAGACTGGTGCTGGAGTGGAGTTAATAAACAATGATTGCAGCTGGGTGAGAAGTTTTTGTTTTTGTTTTGCATTTAGTCGCTAAACTTAAATGAAAAAAGAAGAAAATCCAGAGAAGAAAAGAGACTCTTAGAATTACCTTTTTTAAAAACGGTGAATAACCAGAGAAAGAAAAATCCTAGACCTGAATGAAAGGAACTGAGGGGAGAAAAGCTAAAGATCTTTTAATCAAAGAAAGTTGGATTCTAAACTGGGTAGGCGTTGCTATGGAAAGGCATTAAAATATGCTGGAACTATGTACCTGAACTGATTTGAGTGTTTAATTTTGTCTCTATAAACTGAATTAATTTTGGATTTTAATTTATCACATTTGAAACAATATTGAAACCTCTGTTGATACTTCCAACTACTGGTGAAAAGAATATACTACACTCCTACAAATCTAGGAAGATTTTGACAGAAGAAATAAGCAACATCTTTTTGAAGGATTGTGGTGATACTAACTGTCTTATAATTAATTACTTTACTATTGTGATAAGGAAGACTTTTAAGTAAAGTAAAGTGACTTTTGTTGTGTGGAAACTGTCTGGACTATTTAAATGGAATTGATTAATAATCCTGAGATGTAAAGAGCTATGATTATTGAACTCTTTGATGAGCAAAACTGGAACTGAATATATGTTTGTGACCCTGACTAAAAGTGGACTTATTAAACTAAAATAAGATGCCTTTTCAGGGGGAAATGAGTGAGATTTCAAGAGAAATGGCGTGGATGTTTCAAAGCATCAGGGATACCATGACAAAGAACCAAAGAGAGATAAAAGACTTAATCCAAGGCATAAGTGACAAAGTAGAAAATATGATACAACTGGCAATGAATGAAGATCGAAGAGTCCAGGAAAGAAAGGAGGAGGTGGAAAGAATGGAGGAAAAGATAGAACAGACAAATCACCAAATAAAACAAGAGGATGAGAAAAACTTTTTGAGAGATATAAAAATGGATTTGGAATTGGATAATCTGGAAGATGTTTTTGAAAGGGAGAAAGGAGTAGTGGTGGATACTCTGGAGATATGGCAGCTTAGGACGATAGAGATAGGAGAAATATTTAGATGGAATAATGAAGATACAGATGTTGACAGAGACAAAAATCCAAGAGAGGAGTATGTGAGGAAAGCCAAAAAATGAATAAGAATTGAAGTATTAAAATGGGCAAGGGTTAGGGTTAGGATTGACATTAGAATGGAACACTGAAATATTGAATAACTACTTTAAAATAATCAAGTACATTAATATTAGGATTATATAAATTTGATTAATGTAATAATTGACTGTTGTTATTTGTATTAATATAAACCATACCCAGAGGCCACACTGTTCATGTATTGATGTTGATATATATTTAAAAATAAAAACCGAATAAACCTTGGGGGAAAAAAAAGAAGCAGGAGGAGGAGGGGGAGGGGGAGGAAGAGGAGGAGGAGGAGGAAGTAGCAGTAGTAGTAGTAGTAGGAGGAGGAGGAGGAGGAGGAGGAGAGGAAGAAGCTCCCTTTTCCCTTATATTATCCTGACTCAAATCTTTGCATGTCACCTCTTCATACTGCAGGAATATGTATGTTCTGGGACTAGGTCCAAACCAAAGACATATGCTCTGATTCTGTGCCCGAACAAAATGCAGGTTTTGGACAGCCTAAATTTTTTGTGTGGAAAGAATTGTGCATAGTACTTTTACATATCCACATTAAAGGCCTTCAAAGTAGTAAGAATAACATTACTCCTTCTAGAAATTGAGTCATGGCAACCATACTTCTTTTCTTGTTGGTTCAAAACATTTCACTGCTTATTCAAGTAGCTTCTTCAGTCTCTTGGATAAGCAGGGAAACATTTTGAATCAACAAGAAAAGAAGTTCAATTGCCATGACTCAACTTTCAGAAAGCTCTATCTGGAAGACTGAGAATTTTTGTCAATATTTAGAGTAAATTATTTCTTCAAGTATATGAAAAAGAAAAGAAAAACACAGCAGAGTTGCTGCTATAGGCATTCTTTGC